TGGGCAGAGGCTGCATAAGACCTGGGGTGGCGAGGAAGGGATTTAGTCATGCCTGCAGCCCACTCTGGCTCAATCACCCAAGAACAAATATGGGGAGGGGAGGCGAGGGGAGGGGCAGCAGCTTGCCACGAACCTGCAAGCTTCTCACACATTTGTATTTTTGACAAAATGAGAAAATAACAGAAAAGCAAAGAGAGGAAGCCTTGAACTTTAAAAGTTGGGCCGGAAATTCTGCAGTACAATCCTAAGCCACAACAGTGTCACAGTGAGCCATCCCACAAACCCACAGACCCTGACTTCCGTGCCTGGCCGCCACTCCGGACGGGGAGTGGAAGCGCCTGTGTTTGTTTGTTTGTTTTTATTTTTTTGTGCTGTTGCTTTGAGGGCTGAGATCAATGTCTTTCCTCTTGGTGTGTTTGTGGTTTCATTGCAATACGTCAGGAGGTGTGCTTACTGAGAGAATCTGTGTCTCAGGGTTAATGCTGGTTTTAAAAAAAAGTACCTGACAAAAGAGAACATCCACCAGGAGACAGACATTTGTGCATTCAAGGAAAGACCGATGTGAATATGCAAAATGAAGAGAAAAGTACCCCACCTGTTTTTGGAATTCTTGTTGGGATATGATATTACTACGTGTCGAGAGGACTGGAGCTCAGAGCACTGAGGTTCTTTCTCTCTCCTGCGAGGCCCCTCTGGACACTTGGGCCTTTCTCTGTCCCAAAGTTCCTGTGGAAATGGATGGCCCCATGGAGAACTGACACATGGCTGTTCTCTGCCCCCATCCCATACTCCAACTCAGGGAACTCACCCTCCAATTACTGTCATTCCTTCCATATCTGAGAATGCCACTCTCATAATCTGAGAATCTGTGCAGGTGCCTTTTTTTTTTATGGAATTCCTATCAAAATACAATTGCAGGTTATTATAGAATATGATTTCTTACTAAATTGTAACGTTCAGGACTTTGTGTTTTTGCTGTGAAGCTGCAGTTTTTCTTTTACTTAATTGCACACATCAGAGAAAGCAAGAGCAAAATGCTACACAGATCCTGGAAGGTCACCTACAAGCCAGAGACGGAAAGAGTCTCAACCCCTCAAGTGAGCCTCAGTTTCTCCCTGAGGACAATTTCATAGAACTTTCATAGAACTCGTTATAACAACTGAATAGGATTGCTGTGGTCTCATCCTTGGCCACTCAATCCGGTCACTTAGGGAGCTTTATAAAAACCCCAGTCCTTAGATCCAAGGTACCACAAACTTTGGGGGTCAGGGTTGGGACCCCTAGAATTCAGACACACAGGGAGGTTGAGCACTGCTGAATGTATATGAAAACACTCAGCTTGGGTCCTGTGTGAACCACAGCCTGAGCTGTGTGAACTGTTATTGATAGAGGCATGCCCTGTTGTTTGGTAAACTTCATTATCGATTATAAGTGAGTGAGGACATCAGCTTAGAAGCTGAACAGAAATGTGTCTGTTTTGATTGCGTTCCTTTTCCAACATCTATTTTGACTTCTCCTAGCCAATCTTCCTTCACCCACCATCACTACCAGACTCAATCTTTTTAAGAGCAGAACATGTTTTATTTTAAACCATTTTGGTTGAGAATGTCAAACTGTGTCCTGCCTCAGTAAATAGAGTCGATATCTCTTGGTGGCACCAGTTACCTGGTGGCAGTGTGTTTCATGTTGCCCTCAGTAAGTAGCTAAGGAAGGAGCCAAGGAAGGGCCTGTCTGCTTGGCCTCCAGTAAGTGACTCCGATGGCATCACTCATTCTGTGGCCCCTGCACCCCCGTCAGTGCATATGGGTGCTTCTGATCTCCTGCCTGCTTCACTTACTCTCAGAAGTGCTTGAGTCAACATCCCAGACGGCCTCGTGTCCTGTCTGCAGAAGCTCAGAAACCTGAGCTCTCTAGTGGGCAGCAAAGTGTTTCTTTATATTGAGATATAATATATACTTTGCGAAGCTGTATAAAGTGCATGAATATAGAGTGTTCACCTCAGTGGTTTCTTACATATGTACAAATTCATGTAAGATAAAGAGCTGCAATTCATGCAAGATAAAGAGCTGCAACAAGGTAACCACTGGCCAGTATTTCCAATACTCCGTACTTCCACCCCTGTCCCCAGGCTCCATTGCACCTTTCCCAATCTATCCCCTCTTTACACCTCCAGAAGTGGCCAACCCCAGGGCTGTTTGGCTGAAGCTTTCGTAGGTAGGTTTTACATATACAGTGTGATCAGTTGAATAATGTCACAAGAATCCACATTCTGATCCGTGGGACATATGAATATGTGACTTTAGATGGCAGATGACTTTTTTGTTGCAGGTGTGATTAAGTTAAGGATCTTGAATTGAAAAATTATCCTGGATTATCTGGTGGGCCAAATTTATCACAGGGTCCTTAAAAGAGAGATGCAAGAGGTCAGTAAGCTGTGGTCATCTGTTATAGCAGCCATTGGAAACTCTCCACACGGGCTAAAGCCCACTTCACTAGAGACTCGAGAATGGTTACATTTTCCCAAAAGATAAGAAATATTTTGGGGTCCAAACAAAACTTAAAAATATCTCCTTCCCTCCAGGATACCATCTGTTTCTGGCAATTGGAGCCATCCACCCATCCAGAGACCTGCACCCAGCTTTAGCATCCATGCCTCACACACATCACTGATACGTCCAAATTTCTGTTTTGTGGTGAAACGAAAATGACTCCAGGGCCTTTGTAAATTAACATAAAAGTCTGTTATGCTGCATTTGGACAAAGCACTGTAATATAATGGACATTCATGAGCAATTATACTTATCCAGGAAAGAATGTGTATAGGGAAGTTTAGGAGAGCTTTCTCTGTAGTAGATGCCAGCCCAAAGCTAGACTGTAAATTGTTGGTATCATAAAAAGTTCTGTGACTGGGGGGAAAAAAAATATAAATCTCTGCCAAAATAAACCATATCTATAATATAGGTTCTTTTTGATTTTAGATGTTATTTGTTGACTACAACGAGTCTATTTATAGTTTATTTCCCCAAAATGAAATGGAGTTTATTACTGCCCCTTGGTAGACAGACTAGCATTTGCTTATTTTTCTGTGCTGTTTTTCACTGTTTAGCTGACAGTAAGGCAATGTTGGAAAACAACATGATTAGTTTGTTTGTAGAGCTGCATCTCTACCAGAGGAGATGATTTTTAATGCTCCAAAAAGAAAATACTATTATCAATTAGGTTGTTATTCAGCCTTAAAAATGAAGAACATTCTGACATATGCTGCAACATGGATGAACCTTTATGCTGAGTGAAATAAGCCAGTCACAAAAAGACAAGTACTGTACGATTTCATTCACATTTGATTCCTAGAACATTCAAAATCATAGAGACAGAAAGTAGAATAGTGGGTGCTAAGGGCTGGGGAGAGGGGAGAATAGAAAGTTATTGTTTAATGGGGTCAGAGTTATCGTTTCACATGATGGAAAGCATTATGGTGATAGATGGTGGTGATAATTGTGCAACATTATGAATATATTTAATAATACTGAACTGTACACTTAAAAATAGTTAAAATGTTAATTTTATGTTAGGTATATTTCACCAAAATTTTAAAAACCCACAGTGAAAAATCATTATGCACCCTCCAGAATGACCACAACATACTGGTGACATGTCCTGAGCAACCACTTTGGAGAACTCCTTGGCTTTGAAGATGAAAGAAGGGGCCCAAGCCAAGGAGTGCAGGCACCTCTAAAACTAGAAAAGCCAGGTTCTGGTCAAGATGGCATAGTAGGTAAACTCTGTGCTTGCCTCCTATCATGATCACATTAAAATTACAACTAAACTACAGAACAGCCATCATTGAAAATGAGGTCTAGCTGAACAGAAGTCTTACAACTCAGGACACACAGAAGAAGCCACCTTGAGACTGGTAGGAGGGTGGGAGATGTGAAACAGTCTGATCTCACACCCACATGTAGTGGGTGTAGTTGATCCTTGATTGCCGAGCTTGAGTTTAGTTGAAAATTGGAAAGGATATCTCAGCTGTAGAGGTTCCTCCAGGGGGCGTTCCAGAGATCAAGTGTCAGGAAGAGAAGTCCCCATAACCTCTGGTTGTGAAAACCAGCAAAGATTGTGTCTGAGTGAGATGGAGGGCAGCTGCAGTTTCAGACATGCTTCTTAAAAGGCTCATGCATGGACTTACTCACTGAAGTACTCATTCCCTCTGAGCTTTAGTGCTGAGGCAGCAGCTTGAAAGGTGCCAGGGACATAGGGGGAGAAACTGAATTGTCTGGCTTCAGGGCAAGGGCTGAAGGGGTCAGCTTTCTCCCAGATAGAAGCGCTGGCAGAATCTATTGTTTCTTTGTTGAATCCATCCCACTCCTAGCATGCAGATGCAGGTGGCCACCATATCTGAATCTCCATCAATCTGACTAACACTGGTTGCCCTGCCCTGGTGATTCCCTGAGACCCTGTCTCACTCAACTTTGAGCCCACCCAAGCCTCTTCCAGTGGCTTTTCCATTAAATGACCTGTTTTGGGTCATGCTGAGGACTTTCATAAAATTTCTCAGAGGTTCACAAAACCCAAATAAGTAGCATCTGGCTTCAGCATATCTCTTGCTGAGCAGGCCAAAGCCCAGCACTAATGGCAGCTGGCCTCATTTGTGACTTGGCATCTCGAGGCACCTCCAAGCCCAATGTGGGTGGTGGCCATCTGCAGATTGCTTGGTGGCTCATGCTAGGTAGCCCCAGGCAGGGACAGGCTGTGACTGCACTTGGTCTGTGGTGGGGCCCCTCCCAAAAGACCATAGGGCAAGCACACCTGGTGGCCAGCTTCAGACTGAGCTGGAGCACAACCCGGAGCTACATCTAAGGATGACACACTTTAAGGACAGATTGAGTGGGCATGAGAGCCCTGCTAAAACAAATCCTGCTACATTGGGTCAGCCCTTGCACAATCGCTCCTCCACTGTAGTCACTGACTAGTCCTCACAACCAATCAGCCTGTGGGTCAGTCCCTCCCATTGATGTGCATACAGCAACCAAGGTTCAGTTACAACAAGAAGGCACACACAACCCATCCGAGGGACACACCAGGAGCACCCAGTTCAGGTGACCATGGAGACTGTGCCCCATAAGACGTCTACTACATAAGGCCACTCTACTGGGCAACAGAGCAGCCCTAAATATATGTAGAAACAAATACAGGGAGACAAAGAAACATGTCTCAAGTGGAAGAACAGAACAAAGCTCCAGAAACAGAACTAAACAAAGTGGAGGCAAGCAATCTACCAGACACAGAGTTCGAAACACTGGTTATAAAGTTACTCCATGAACTTAGGGGAAGAGTAGACGAACTCAGTAAGAACTTTAAGAAAGAGGTAGAGAACATAAAAATGAAGATATAAAAGATAAAAATAATCAGTCAGAAATGAAGACTACAATAACTGAAATGAAGACTACAATAGAGGGAATGAACAGTAGATTAGATGAAGCAGAGTATCGAATCAGTGATTAGGAAGATAAGGTAGCAGAAATACCCAATTAGAACAGCAACAAGAAAAAAGAATCCAAAAAAAAAAAAAAATGAGTTTAGTTTAAGGGGTCTCTGTGACAACATCAAGTGTACTAACAATCATGTTATAGAGGTACCAGAAAGAGAAGAGAGAGTGCAAGGAATTGAAAATCTATTAGAAGAAATAATCATGGAAATCTTCTTTAACCTGGCAAAGGAAACATGGGGACATACAAGACCAGGAGTCACAGAGGGTCCCAAACAAGATGAACCCAAATAGGGCTACACCAAGACACATTATCATTAAAATGCCAAAGGTTAAAGACAAAGAGGGAATCTTAAAAACAGCAAGAAAAAAGCAATGAAACTCCCATAAGACTGTCAGATGATTTCTCAACTGAAACTTTGCTGGCGAGAGGAATTGGCATGAAATATTCAAAGTGAGGAAAAGCAAGGACCTACAACCAAGAAGACTCTACCCAACAAAGCTGTCATTTAGAACCGAAGGACAGATAAAGAGCTAAAGGAGAGATAAGAAAAAGCTAAAAGAGTTCATAACCACTAAGCCAGTATTACAAGAAGTGTTAGAGGGACGTAAGGAGAAGTAAAAGGAAAAGAAGAAGATAAAAATACAAATAATAAAATGTCAATAACTACATATCTATCAACAATTACATTAAATGTAAATGGAGTAAATGCTCCAATCAAAAGATAGGCTGGCTGAATGGCTATGAAAACCAGACCCTTATATATGCTGCCTACAAGAGACTCACTTCAGATTGAAAGGCATACAGATTGAAAGTAAAGGGATGGAAAAAGATATTTCATGAAAATGGAAACAAATAAACAAACAAAAGCTGGGGTAGCAATACTTGTACCAGACGAAATAGACTTTTAAATAAAGACTATGACAAGAGTCAAAGAAGGACCTAGTAATCCCACTTCTGGATATTTATTTGAATAAACACAAAACACTACTTCAAAGAGACATGTGCATCCATTTGTTCATTGCAGCATTATTTACAATAGTCAAGATATGGGGGCAACATGGGTATCCATCAACGTATTAATGGATAAAGGAGAGGTGGTACATATATACAATGGAATATTACTCAGCCATAAAAAGAATGAAATATTGCCACCTGCAACAACATGGATGGACCTAGATAGAGGGTATTGGGCTGAGTGGAGTAAGTTAGATAAAAACAAATGTCATATGATCTCACTTACCTGTGGAATCTAAAGAACAAAATAAACAAACCAACAAAACAGAAACAAACTCATAGATACAGAGAACATTTTGAGGGTTGCCAGATAGGAGGAGGGTTGGGGGGATGGGTGAAAAATGGGAGAGGGATTAAGAAGTAGAAATTGGTAGTTACAAAATAGTCGTGGGGATATAAAGTATAGCATAAGGAATATAGTAAATAATATTGCAATACCTATGTATGGCATCAGATGGGTAGTAGATTTATTGGGGTGATCACTCGTAAATTATATGAATGTCTAATCGCTATGTTGTGCACCTGAGACGAATATAATATTGTATGCCAATGGTAATTGAAAGATTAAAAAATTAAAATAATAAAATAAAAGCTGGAAAAGGCAAGGAAATGGATTCTCCTCTAAAGCTTCCAAAAGGAACCAGCCCTGCCAACAACTTGAATTTGGACTTCTGGTCTCCAGAACTGTGAAACAATAAATATTTGTTTTAAGTCCACAGTTTGTGGTTGCTATGGGCTAAACCGTATCCCCTAAATTTATCCGTTAAAGTCCTAACCCCCAATGAGTCTGTTTTGGAGATGAGACTCTTAGTAGGTAATTAAGCTTGCATGAGGTCATAAGGATGGAGTTATAATTCAATAAAATTGGTGGCCTTGTAAGAGGAGGAAGAGAGAGAAGGTGCTCTCTGCATGCGTGTGCCAAGGGAGAGCCCTATGAGGGAGGAGGTGCCATCTGCAAGCCACGGAGAGAGATCTCACCAGAACCCAACAGTGGGGCACTTTGATCTTGGACTTCCAGTCTCAGAACTGTGGGAAAATATATTTCTGTCTTTTAATTCCCCCCTCCCCCCCAGTTTGGAGTCATTTGTTATAGTAGCCCCAGGACACTGATCCACCTAGGCATTTGGAATTAAAGAAGAAGATGTTAGTCCCAGACTCTGTTGCCTGGGAACTACAAGTGTGGACATGAGTGTGGAGAAACAGAGGGCATCTGCCTGGAGAGAGGAAAGCATGGAACTGAAAAAGGGTCGGGCAGACAATCTCAGTCAGCGGGGACTTGCTTGGCCCCGAGGCTGTCAGGCACTGCTGTGAGTCCCATGAGATATCCTGTGTTCCCAGAATCCATTCCCTATCACACTTAAGCTTCTTTGAAGTGATTCTTTTTATTGCAACTGAAAAGTACATTGGCTAAACAATGATCTCTGTCTTTCTTTTTAATTTCAGAGGTTATGGATGATCAGACCATGATACGTGGGAAACAATATTTCCTCTTTTTAAAGTCAGTTCTAATCATTGACTTGAACATAATAAATTTAAGATCTGGTGCCCTCTTCAATGGCCTGGAAGGATGAAAGGACCTTTCTGTTCATCAGGGGTTGAAGGGGGCGGTAATTATTCACCATTATCTTCTCTTCTTCACCAAGTGCAGAAAACAGGAGCGTGCGAAATGCAGCCAGCTGGAATGGAGAGCAGCCAGAATAAGCTGGGTGCCTGTACAGAGTGAACTAGCTCCCAGGTGTCCCTCGTAACTTCCGTCGTCCCCTCCCACGCTGAATCAAGGATGGTCCTGTGTGGCTAATACAATATGGTGGAGGTGATTCCTGAGCTAGGTCAGGAAAGCCGTTGGAGCTTTTATCACGGTCTCTTGGATCACTTACTCTGGGGCGCCAGCGACCGTGTTGTGAAGTCACTCAAGCAGCCCCATGGAGAGACCCATGTGGAGAAGAACTGAGTTAACAGCCAGCACCAACTTGCAGGCTACTTGCATGAGCTGCTCCAGTCTCAGTCATGCTTTCAGAAAACTGACACCTGACTGCGACTCCGCAAGAAATCCCAAACCGGAACCACCCAAATTCTGACCCACTGCAATTCTGAGACGATGAGTAATGATGATTTTCTGAAGCCACCAAGTTTTGGAGCTATTCGTTGCACAAAAATAGGAGTTAATGCAAACAACATAAATGCTAAAGTAACATTTGATTCCTTTTTTCACTCAAGGAACCAAAAGATTATTTTTTTAGGTATCATCTCATCTGTTCTCAGAATATACTTATGAGCTCTGTGAGAATAACTCACATGTTTAATTAAATAAGTGAGCTTTTATCTATATAGCGATCACTTACTGAGCAAGTTAGATCTTCATGGCTGATGAGGTGCCCTTAATGGTGTGTAGGGCACAGAGCATACAGTTTCTCTGGTACTCAGCTCAGTGCCCTTGCTTGGTACATGTTCAGAAACCCAGCCTCTCTCCTCTCCTCCACTTGGCGATCCCTTTCCCACTGTCCAAGGGGTGCACATACCACCTCCCCAGTTCCCCTGGTCAGGGTAAGGGACTTCTGCTCTGCATTATTGTGTAATACTCACTCATCACCCTGTCTTAAAACTATCCACTTATGTTTCCACTTTCTCACCGGACAGCAGTGCACAGACACTAATGTCACTGTTTCTGTAACATCTCTTCTCTTTTTACCTCTCTCCCACCTTCTCCTGCTACAAACCTGACATGTAGTGGGTGCTTATTACATGTTTGTTGAGTGACAGAAGGGGTCTTGGTGACAAGGGCCATTCTTCAGCCAAAGCTTTCCTCATGTCTGTAACAGTTTTGGTTTGGGGGCGGGATGAGTAATCTGCACCTCACAGCTCAAAATGCAGCCTTTCAAAGCAAAGGGCGTCATTCCATGACTTTTAAATAAGAGAATATTTTCAAAGACTCGCGAGGCTGGAAGAACCTCTACAAGCTCATCTATAGCACTCAGATAGAGTACAGCTGAACAAGAGGTGATAACTAATATTGTGATTAGTCAGAAATGTCTGTCCTGGGCAGGGGTGACAGAGTGGCAGAATGCTTGTTGCATATTAGTCATCCCTAAATCTAAACTGCTCTACACAGATGAACTTTCTCTCGGTTCTTGAGCTTTCCAGAGGAAAAGGTATTACGACTTAAAAAAAGAAGTATGCAAGTAATATCTACTTATTGTAGAAAAAAATAGAATATTTAGATAAAGGAAAGGAAAAAGATAAAAACCACTGCAGACCTATGACCCTGGGACAACGAGTAGTCACTTTTCGGTGTGTATCTATGTGGTAGATTAGGGTATTGTTTAGCGAATGTTCACTCACCTCCTCCCTGCCCCACTGACTTTGCCCCTCCATTGTGACTTGCTTTGGCCAACAGAATGTGATGCAAGCAGGAGCCTTAAGTGTGCATGTGTAGTTTGGCTTGTCTCTTGCATTTTTGTCATTTATCATGAGAACTGGCCCTTGGTAGTCACTGGTCCAAGGAGCATGAGAGACACTGGGCCTGTCCTGATACCCAACCACATTCTGCGAGGCCGAGCAAGATAAAGTAGAGCCTCCCCAGCCAACCCGTAGATCTGTGAGCAGAAAAAGCAAATGCTTGTTGTAAGCCACCGAGTTTTGGGGTGGTTCGTTACACAGCATTATTGTAGCTTGCTTACTAATACAATCCTCCTGGAATTTTCTCTCAGCATGTATAGTTCCGTAACTTCTTAATACAGCATGTGAGAAATTCCTCTGCAATCCCAATTCCTTACTGTTGTATCATCCAAAGAAGCAGAACAAATTAAAATCTTCTCTTCTCTCCCTCAATGATCCTATATGTTTAATGGCTTTCTAGCATCCATGTATGACATCCATTTCTTGGTTAATTTATTCACTAACAAATACCTATAGAGGGCCCATTATGGGCAAGAACCAATTATAATGTCTCAGTTATAATGGCATTTCTGTTCTTTTAATTTTTATTTATTTACTTATTCATTCATTCATTCATTCATTCATTTATTTGTTTATTAACTTTCTCCCTTCTTTAATCCCGCCGCCCCCTACTTCCACCTCTGACCTATGGATGTTGACGTTTCCCCTTAAGAACTGGATCTCTGAAGCAGGGCGTCTCCTCCCACACGCTCGCGGCATGCACCCGGGGCCTGGTGCACCGAGTATGGTCCCTGGCTCTGTAAAGCAGATGTGCTAACCACTACACTATGGAGCCACCCCTGGCAATTCTGTTCTTTTAAAGTAACTTTACCCTGACATAGACTGAAGAGTAAGCACTGACCAAGTTCAGCCATTAGTCATTGGGGATACTCACCACATCTGAACGCCAAGCCAGATGTGGTGAGTATCCCTAATGACTAATGGTTAGACAGTGCTAAAATATAACTATTTCCGCCCTCATATCAGTTCTGTCTTCCTCCCCACTCCTCCTCGCCACCTCCCCTCCCCACCTGCTCTGTCTCTCTCACACATTAACATCTCAACGTCAGAAGAATTGTGATTTCAGAAAGCTCTGTTCTATCTCAACGAGCTTCTACTTCAATTGAAAATTCTTCTTCTGTAGAAACATCCAGAACTCACCAAAGACTAAAACTCCACGATATTCACTCACGATATCTTAGTAACACTGTCAAACAAAAGGAATTTCTTCAGTATAGTCCCACTACACAGACCACAGGCACAGCTCACCTGGTTCGGAGCCACTTCAATGGGCTTCTTCTGGATGATCCACGTGACTGACTCCGTTAGGGGAGGAGTGGTGAGGGAGCCTGGGTAGGTCCAGTAATTCCGGCAGGTGGGCAGCAGATAGGAGGGCTGGAAGGGGCCCATGGCCACCTGAGCATCCTGAGACCAAGACCACAGGACATATCAGGGCTCAGGTGGAGGTACAGGAGGTGCAGGAAGGGAGGGAACTGTGCTCCATCTTTATCTCAGTGACGTGACCGTCACATCATCAGGAGGGACATGTGTCCCCGAGATAAAGGCTGTGAAGCCAAGATGATCACATTTGGAAGCAGTAACAAGTAAGCGTGACCCTCATAGCAGAGCACAGATCCCCACTAAATGCTTACATTTTTCCTTTTAAAGATTTATTTTCATCAACCTAAGCTGTGAAAATATTACACTTTTAAAAATTGTGGTTAAATGACATGAGTAACATAAAATTTACTATTTTAATCACTTTCCAGTGTACAGTTCCGTGGCATTGAATACATTCACATTGTTGTGCAACCATCACCACCATCCATCTCCAGGAGTTTCTTATCTTCCCAAACTGAAGCTCTGTCCCTGTTAAACACTAACAGGGACACCTCCCCCAGTCCCTGTTGGCCACCATCCTACTTTCATTCTCTATGGATTTGATTCCTCTGGGGACCTCATGTGGGTGAAATCATGCAGTACTTGTCCTTTTGTGATTGGCTTATCTCACTTAGCATAATGTCCTCAAGGTTCATCACATTGTAGCATGTGTCAGGATGTCCTTGCTTTTTAAGGCTGAATAATTTACCATGTTGTGTTTATTCATTCATTCGATGATGGACACTTGGGTTGTTTCTACCTCTTGACTATTGTGGGCAATGTTGCTGTGAATATGAATATACTAATATCTCTTAAGACCTTGTTCTCAATTATTTTGCGTATATACCCAGAAGTGGGAATGCTGGATCCTATGGGAATTCTATGTTTAATTTTTTGAGGAACCACCAGACTGTTTTCCATATTGGCTGCACCAGAAAATTTTCACTTTTAAGACAGCTGACCATCTCTTTAAAGCAGCGGTCTCTGATGTAAGAGCCGCGGTAATGACACACACTCAGGAGGATGTGGGCGCTGAGCCTGTCACCTGACTCTGCCAGGACTTTCTTTCTCACAGGGAGCAGGTGGAATTGATGGACCTGGACAGCTGTCCTCAGCCACCTTGTGCCAGGCTCTCTGCACTGCTCCCACGAGGGACTCCAGTCAGCATGTCCTGCTTGGGAGCCCTGTGTTTAGAATTCATGTTTATTTACTTTCTGTGCTTTATAAAAGGATGGGGAGAAATTTGCCTCTCTGAGTTCCAAATGACACTGATAGGGTGCCACCATTCATTCATTTATTCATTCACTTACTCACAGTTGTGTTTAGCACCTACAGTAAACCCGACTCGATCTTAGGTGCTGGGGTGCAAAACCACCGCCTTCATGGAACTCACCTTTTCCCAGACAAAAGCAGACAGCACACCAAATAATAAGTAAATATCTAGTAGTTTACATGGTGATGTGTGATGGAAGAAAATAAAATAGGGCAGTGGTGGGGGGGGTGGCATTTTAAGAGGGGTGCTCTCAAAAGCCTCACCGGGAAAGTGACACTTAAGCAAAGACATGGAGGAGGTGAAGGAAGAGGCCATGCAGGTTCCCAGGGAAGAACCCTTCAGTGGCAGACACAGCTGGTGTCGAGGCTCTGGCTTAAGGTGCGGCCTGATGGGCTAGAGGAACAGCAAAGAGGCCATGTGGCTACAGTGAGTAAATGAGACAAAAAGTGATATAAAGAGATTGGGGGGCGGGGTGCTGTAGATAGGGATAGCCCTGCTTGTGCCCCAGGTTGGGACCCCAGAGAATATCCATCAGCAGAGGCAGAAGCAGGTGGCTGCTATCTGTATGTTGCTCAGTATAGAGCCTGGGGTCTAAAGAGAAAGGAGGATCCCTGGGCTAGTCTTTGCCCCCTTGCAAGCCAAAGACATCTGAGCAGATTTTTTGCTCAGAGAAGAAAGGATCTCTCGAGGTCCCTCTGACTGGCAGGCCCGAGACTGTGGCCTCCGTCCCTTCATAAAGTGAATGAGATTGAAAGGCCAAGAGGGGTCAGGCCTGGAAACAATGTGACACTAACCAGCCTCAACTGCAGACCCATCCCGGGCAAGCCCTTTGCAGGATATTCAAGCCTGAGGCAGATATTCTCTTATCCCTAAGGAAGGAGGTCTCCCTGCACAGCAGAATCTTTCCACCCAGCCTCCAAAGGCAAAAGCAAGGGGCTGGGACAACCTGGCTGGTACCCTAATTGCTGGCTTTCATCAGTCAGAAACTGGGAGACATCAGGTAAGCTACCGAAAGGAAAGAAGTAAATTGATTCACACTGACAGATAATTACGAAGGGACTTGTGTGCCAGGTGTTTCTCTTTGTAATTAATTATCTGGTTAATGTCTTTTTATTTTTTTAATTAATTTTTTTTTTTGGTCACATTGCTTTACGATGGTTAATGTCTTTAAAAAAGGATTATTGAAATATAATTCACTCCTTTAAATAATGCAAGTCTATGGCTTTTTATATATTATTCACAGATCGATGTGCAACCATCACCACAGTCCGTTTGAGAACATTTTCATCACCTCAAAAAAAGAACTCCAGAAAAAAAAAAAAGCCCAGTAAATACTCTTTAGCTATCACTTCTCCTGACCTCCCCACCCCTGCCCCTCTTGCCACAGGCCCCACTTATCAGCTTTCTGTCTATGTGGATTTGCCTATTCTGGACATTTCCTATAAGCAGAATCATATAATATGTGGATTTTATGATTGGCTTCTTTCATTTAGCTTAATATTGTCAAGATTCATCCATGTCGTAGTGTGTGTCAGGGCTTCATTCCTTTTTATGGCCAAATAATATTCCATTATTTGGTCTAGTTAATTATTGAAGGAAACAGGTCACATGAGACAACAATGCAAAAAGTACCAGGGGGCGTGCAGTGACAAACGCATCTCTCCTCCCCCAGTCTCTAGCCCAAAGGCTGCCAGACACCTTCGAGACGATGACCTTGAATTTTTAGAACCACCCTTTGAGGGATATTTCTGTCTTATTGATGAAGAAAGTTGGATAGATATAAGTGACTTTCCCAAAGCCACACAGTTAAACAGTGGCAGAACCCAGATGTCACAAGAAGTCTGTCCTGTCCCCAAGCCAGGGTTGTTTTCTCCCTCCCCAGGGGCTGCAGGGGGGTAGGGGGCATAAAGGCAGCAGATTATACGGAGGAGCAGCTGGATGGACCCACCACTGCCCACTGCTGTTTCTTGCCAATCAAAATGTTCAGAGGACATCTACATATCTCCAGTAACGTCATCAGGAGCTCTGTGCCCTGATCCTAAAGCACATTAGGGTTCAGAGCAGCCCCTGATATATAGAAAGCTGCTCCCCCTCAGAGTCCTCAAAGCAAGTCATGGCCCCTCCTCTCCGTGTCTGTCAGCTCCGGTGGTTGGAGCATTAGCTGGGAGCACATGGCATGGTTTGGGCCACCGTCCATCACCAATACAGACGGACCAGCTCCCTGTAGATGGGTGCCCACTCCACATGCCTTCATTGTTCTCTTTTCTATTTATGTGCATCCCACTTTGGAAAGAAGGAAGGTGGTTTGCAAAGAAAGCTCCATGTGGTACAGCATGGCAGAATAAAAACAAGAGAAAAGGCAAATCTATAGGACTTGGAACAAATAAGTGGTGGCCAAGGCTTGGGAAAGTGGGGCTTGACTCTACTAGGGCCACAGGACACGATGTGCGGGGGGGCGGGGGGCACTGTTTCATATGGTCTCACATGGGGGACTCGTGACTCTAGGAATTTGTTAAAACCCATAGAACTGTATACCACAGAGGTGACTCATAACGTTGCAAAATTTAAAAATCAACTCAGACTTTGGGGGAACCCACGGTGGAGCACAGACTGTGACGAATGACTCTAATGGATTACACTCCCCAACTGATGGAGCACAGACTCCCGCTCATCAAGGCTGGGCCTTCTGCCTCTTAAGATTCTAACTCTTATTTTTCAGGTGAGGAAACTGAGGCCCAGAGATTAGCATCAGGACAAGCAGCGTCTTCTGTCATCACTTCTGACCACGTGTACCACCGCACTGACACCACCTCTCCGATGTGGTGTGCCCAGGAGACCCTGAGTTAGCCTACCCTGGGGGGTGGGGAGGTTGCTCCAGAACCTTCCTTGGAAGCAAAACACACTGCTGAGTAAAGAGGGCCTCACAGACAGTGACTTTCTTTCCCACCAGAAGGTGGACACCACGCCATGCAGGAGGCGGATGCTGGTGGGGAAAACATCCCAGGTTTACTCTGGCCTCGGACCAGCAAGGAAGAGGGTGCTCCCAGCACCTTGACCTTCTGGAGTTCCTGAGCTGGCAGACAAGGCAGCAGGCGGTGATCTGGTCTCAGTTCCACGAGGCCCGCCTGGAAGTCAACATCAAGGCGAATGCACCACACAGATCAAACGGCCCCTGTGAACCGGCAGAGGAAGGGCTGGCCCTCATCATTGTTAAGACAGGTGGGAGCCCCACATCCAAGGACCATGGTGACTCCTTTTGTCTCAGAATGCTTTTGTTTGGTACTGAACAAATAAACTGCATTTCTTTGGAATTTCCACTTCTCCATCAAAGTCCTTTCTCAGCTGATGTTGGAGAAAAGCTATATTGTTGTCCTTGTCATCTTTTTGAGCCATGCTTAATGCAGCGAGGTGTCCAAAGCCAGCTGGGCAGAGATCAGCTCTTCCACGCACGAGTGGTGGATTGGCAGGACTTTCCCTCTTCCTATGGACTCTGAGCTCTCAGGGATAGGTGGTCTTAGGTTCACCCCAGGAGTGTGCCAGGTGGCACTTAGGTGGGCACTCTTCAGTGTTAATATTTAGGTATTTATTTCAATTGGGTTTAAAACGTTATCATTAATGGATGTCGTTGCTTGAGATAGCCTAAAGATTTTTAAAAGCTGATCAATTTATGAAAAAGTATTAAGTAACTAATAGGACCAGTGAAGATGGACATGGCAAAAATCTTCAAGATGCTGCCTGAATGACCTAATTTTGGGAAACCCAAATTGAATCCAGCACCCTAATTATATTGAGAAGGGAGGGTGCCCAAGACATCAGATAGCGAGCCAGCGAGTGACGTAACTGGAATTAGCCCCAGTGAGTTCCATTTCTAGAATGGGACTCTCTGCAATACTCTTTCCACCAAGCTGGTTTTCTTCCCCTTGCAATTTGGCTTTTCCAATGATGCTGATTTTGATATATGTAGCTTACCTTATGTTTTATTTCTGGCAAGACGTCCACCAACTTCTGCAGTGCTTCGTGATGGGCCCCCAGCTGCACAGCACAGACATACGAAATATTCATTTGAAAAGCAGAGGACAGGGTGACCAGCACACTTCATTCTACGTAGACTGTGTTTACAAAGCAGTTCTTAGTTACGGCACACTACTTTTTTCGTTAAGAGAGCTACACCCTGGCGAGAGATTACCTTTAAAAATACTCCTATCACAGCCAAGCCATTCTCTCCCAATACGGCTTCTTTGTAACTTTGGTATTTCACAGAATTCCAGTGAACTAAATGCAGCTGAAACACAGGAGAAAGAATGTATCACGATGCAGCCAGAAACAAAACAGTCGCTCCCCCTTCTGCATGGCAGACCTACGTGTCTGTTTAATGATTTTCATGAATTCGGCGGCTCAGCCCGGCTTAGGAATGCCAGCACCGCCAGCATGCTTGGGGTTCTCAAAGGCCTGCTAAAACCACAGAGAGTAAGGGCCTCACATTTCTGGTGGGAGAGAAAGAGGTTCGTTTGAACTTTATGAAATAGAAATGGGTGGTTGGATCGTTTGCTATTTTTTGTATTTTTCAGATGTCCTTGAACACAGGTTGCCAGATCAAATACAGGACTCTCGATTAAATTTGAATTTCAGATAAACACCAAATAATTTTTAATGTAAGTATGCCCCAAACGTTGCTCTTTTTTCTACATCTGTCACCTTCCCTTGAACTTCATCTGTGTCCTTATTTCACACTCCTCCTTCGTTTTTCCTAAGCCCAAACTCAGCATCAGGGTTGGTCAGATGACAAGAATTTAAATCAGGGGCAGGGGCCTGGCTGGGGAAACAGGCTTTTCTAGGTCTCTGGCGAGTCAGAGGCAGAGCCAGGACACCTGGGCCTGGCTTCGGCGATGATACGATGATACCGTGTGGTGCTGTCCATGCTCCGTTGGGCTCAGAACCTAGAAGGGACCTGAGTGTCCATACATATTTCCTTCTATGGGCATAAGTTGCAGTAGAGGTTTTTCTGATTGGTGACCCAAGCCCCGAGTTTGCAAGGACAGAGTTCAGAAAGCCTCCAGCTTCTCATAGTCAACCAGACTCTCCCCACACAGCTGCTGGATTCGGAGTGGAGGGGTGGAGGTGGGGTTGGGGGTGAGGGGGTAGAGGCCTCTGCTGAATGGCTGAGTCCACGTGTGCTGTGGGTGACACCTCACTCTGAAGTCCCAGTGTTCTTAGCCACACGCACTGGGGACAGTGAGGGTGGCCAGGCCTCTCCCTGCCCATCCTGCTGGAACGCCCCGTCTGCTGTCCTAGGGCACTCTGCCAGAAATAGAGACAGCTGGGCCCGTGACCCGACTGCAGCCTTCTTCCTTTACAGACTCCATCTTTGGAGCTGACTCTGTCTCCCAAAACCTCCATAGGAAACAGCACCCTGCGACATGACATGCATCAGAGGCAAGGCCAGGAGGGGCCTGACTCAGAGGGAGCCCTGGCAGGTCCCATCTCCGATCTTGGCCTCTATGCTAATAAATTACAACAACCTCCTCTGTTAAAATATCTGTTCATTAAAAACCATGGTTCAGATATACAGTTATGAAGCTAAAAGTTGTGTTGTCAAGTGAAAGCGGGCATGTTGCAAGCCACTTGTTCCTTCATTCTTGTCATATTTGTTAATATGCGTATAATTATAACAATAGATGTAACTCCCTATTTATAAGCTGTCCCCAAAGGTCACCTCTGGGTGTGTGATTACTGGGGATTTTCATTTTTTGGTTTGGTTGGACTCTAGCTTGATTTTAACTACAGTATTACTCCCACAATAACGGCAACAAAAATTTAAAACAAAAACCATTCATAACTTAAAACACATCCAAAAGTCAGATGGTTGGTGGGTGGACAGAGATGTGATAAAGTGAATAGGGCAAAATGTTAACCATGGGATCTGGCAGCCTCATGGGTTCTCACTGTACAGTTCTTTCAATTTTTTTGGATGCTGAAAAATTTTCATAATAAAATATTGGGGAAAACCTATAAGGCACCACCATAACTACAAAAAACAGTCCTCAACATTTTTCTCTGTTCATTTTTTCCCTGACTCTTATTTTTAAATGTTGTAATTGTCACTTCGTTTTAAGATGATCGCTATTGTAAAGATTTTTAGATTCTCAGTAGGAGGCTTCGAATGCCTTGAAGGACAGGAAGCTGCCCGTTCATAATCGACTACCAACGAGCATATGGCTGAGTGAGAGGCTGTTCTTGAATCCCAGTGGTCTGGCTTTGCCACCTTACATAACCACTCAGAACCTCAGTCTCTTCTTCTATTAAATGAAAGTGCTAATAAGTACCCTCCCCTTAGGATAGCAGTGTGATTGAATGGGTGGGGTGGCCGATTGTTCTGGTTTGAGCAGTGAGGGTCCCACATCCCAGGAAATCCTCTCTCTCTGGGCCACCAGGATGGTTGGTCACCCTACAATCAAGCCTGGCATGTAGAAAGCACCCACATATTTGCTGCTAGGATGCCGTCTACGAACCTCTGCCGGGTACACGTGGTCATCCACCGCGTGCTCTGAGCCCCACTCATTCACTGCTCCCCAATGGAAGTGGAACTGCTTCAGTTGGTAGTGGTTTTCCAAGGGGCCACCACTAATTCCTGGAAAGTGAAACCTCTCTGTTAGTTTGCCTATTAGTTGGACTGTGGTGTTTCTGTGATACTGTCTCATGATTTCACTCTCAAAAGACTGATGTCTTGCTGAAATGACAAACTAGAAGGTGGGCTCCATGAAAAGTGGGTCCTGTCTGTCTGTTCACTTCTGCCCTTGTCACCTGGCCCTGGGCCAGCCAACATCACACAGTCTAGGCCTAAGTGAATACAGATTCAAGTGCTGCCACCAGGGGGCGGTAGGGGTCTCAACCCCTGCCTGCCGCAGTAAGTCAAAGAAAAACATTTCTGAGATGCATGCCCATCTTATAAGATTTCCAGACTTCCTTGCTTAAAAAAGAAAAAATGATGTCGTTTGAATGAAAAAAAAGTAGCTTAAATCCTATCGCCGAATAATTTCATAAATATGTAAAGAGCAAATAAACAAATAAACAAATTCTGAGGTACAGCATGCTGCCTTTCCACCCGCTGTTCTCTATACAGCCCCTGCTCAGTCTAGTCCCACTTGCTAAGTCACCCCACATACCCAAACGGCCTCCCCAAGAGCTGCAAGCTTGACGCGCACGGGCTCAAATGTGAGCAATCTGGGTCTCGACTTTGGAATTGTGGGTGCCTTCCAGATGTCCAGGCTTAGGGCTGGGGCTCCGCATTTTAGAGACCTCTGGGTGGCTCTGATGCACGTGGCTTAGTCTGTCTCCAGCTTCACTTTGCTAACAGATTTCCATATGATGGAAATGCTAACATATTTTCCATATGATGCAAATATGATGGTGACTGTTGGACAACTCACTTTCACTTTGCTAACAGATTTCCACGAACAACTGATGCAAATATGATGGTGACTGTTGGACAACTCACTGTGAATCGAAATGAGCATGTGCCACGGAGATGGCTAAGGACAAGTCTGGAAGACACGGCAGAGCCACGAAGTGGGTTCCAGGGTGGCCTTGCTTGCGTCAACTCCTCTACGTGTCAAATACGACTGGCCAGTGGTATTTTCCGTTTGGTTTTTACCATAAAAAGTATTCGTAGCAGAAAGCGCTGAACTATGAACGAGAAAACAGGTTCAGCTTATGATTCTGCTCTCGGTCAAGTCGTAAAGCTTCCCACCATCTTTCTTGACTTGAAATGATGGCGTCAGTTCAGAGGTCATTAGGGTCTCATTAGTCATAAAGTTTTGTGGTTTCATGAGGTAATAGTCTATTCTTAACACACACTCACGAGTTACTTCTTAACTTTTAAAAATATACAGAAATAGCTCTTTCTCCAACAAGTTTATGAAAACATATTAAACCATAAAGTCTGAATCTACAGCACTGTGGGGGTGAAGGAGGAAAACCTTCCAGGGTAGGTTCAAATTGCAAGACTTTAATAGGGATTTTCCGGGCCTAGAAATACAATGGGGGTGATTTTTTTTTCCTTTGAGGGATAAGGACACTCCAGCAGATTGGCCTTTACAGTTTTGTGTTGTATTTTAATTTATGAGGCGAGGTTTAAAACATTGCCGGTAATCTCTGGGGTATAGCAATGGGAACTAGGATTTAAACCCAGGACTGACGCCAAAACTTGTGCCCTTCCACTTTATCTTTCAAAGTGCAAAATATAATCTAAGAAAATTGCAGAACTATGAAACGAAGGCAGTGGTCATCTTTGTGTCTTATATCCATGGTGGAAAGAGAGTGTAGATCACTAGTCAGCCAGAGATCGCGTGCCACCAAAGTGCATCTCTTAGTGACCAAGAGGGGATCCTAAGAGGTGAGTCTGCCTGTCATCTGACCGACTGTCCTCTAGGAGATGCCCTGGGCACTAAGAAACCGAGACTGGCAATATGCTTACTTACACAGAAGTAACTATGTGGATGTCCATGCATGTCTGTATCATCTTTTCCAGAACGGAAGTGACAGAAGGCAGGAATGATGGCTGTTTCATCTAAGCCAGGAACAAATTGAATTGGACACAAACTGGTGGACACAATTTATAATTAAATACCATCCAGTTGATTCTCAAGACAGGGACCATTTTTGTCTTATTCATTATTGTATTCTCAGCGTTAGTCTAGGACATGTCCCTTGGAGGCACCCAGTGAATGAATGAATGAGATCATTATGCTTCTTGATTGGTTCATTCACTCAGTCCGTACGCAGGTCTGTGTGTAGTAGCAGAATTCAGCCTTTCCCGTGACAGCTCGGGAACTGGCTAGGATTTATAGGGAATTACACAGAATGCTAGAATTATGTAAAGACCTGGATTTGCAGCTTAGCTTTAACTTGCTGTGTGAACTTGAGCAAGTTGCTCAGCTTCTCTGAGCCTCAGCCTCTCCACCTGTGAAATCATGGGTGTTGGCAGAATAAACAGTGTTGGCAGGGAAAGCACTTTGTATAGTATTGTCAAATGAGGATGGTGATAACGATGCTGCTGACTGTACATCACGTAACCTTTCAAGCATGCAGCTCCTTCATCTTTAAAAAAAGGACTTACAACCTGATTGGTTCTTGTGTCCCTTCTAGCTTAAGCATCTGAGAATTCTATGTAGGCTCATATAAAAGATCTCCAAAAAGAATGATACCAACTGCATGAGGCATACATTCATCACTAGCTGGATGTCTGCCAGATCCCCACCAAAAATAACCTTTAGAAAAATCACCCCACTGTTGCTAACAGCAGAGGGAGAACCAGAGGCTGCTGGGATGGGAGGGGACTTGTGAACACTGATCATTACTCTCCTTCCTCTGGCAGGTAAAGAGCTGCCGAGGTCAGAAGACTTTCCTGATGTCACTCTCTGAGCAGGACTGGGGCTCACAGACCACAGCTCCAAGCTCTCCCTGACATCAAACTGCCTCCAGAATTCTTTACTGAAGCAGCCTGTCTCCAGTCGGACTTCAGCTTCCAAAAGATCCCAGTAGTCCATTTAAGTGAGAGAATACAAATGGAAGTCTATCCTTTAAAATCCTGGGGTTCTCCTGCTGCAGGAGAGAATGTGTCTTTGCAGTGAGGCCTCCAGAATATGCATCTCTTTCGAGCTGACATCTGGTCATTTGAACATGAACCAGGGGACTTGCTGGAAATCTGGGGCCAAGCAAACTCATAACAAAACCCCCAAAAGGCTGCTGTCCCTCACTAGCTTTGTAATATGCAAACGCAAATAAGGAGCTAAGCAAAACGTGAGCTTCTCTAGCAGGTTAAGTGAGGAGGAAGACGGTCTGGGGTTGGCTGGCTGGAGGGCTGGTTGGCTTTCTGGTGCAGGGTTGTGGGAGGATAAGCTATAACGTGGGCTGGGCTGGTGCGGCCCCCTGTGGCCAGTCAGTGGAGACACATCAGGACCTGCCATTCTGTCTGATGCAGCCTCATCCCTTTAAGTGCATTTCAGAAGAGAAAAAGAGCACATCAAAAAGCACAACGTTTAAATTCAAGAACGCCAGCAAGTATGGACTCCACAGAAGAATTTCACTGTAACAATGTCTCTCAAATTAGACCTGACCGGCTAAGACAGCCTACTAGCAAAGCGCCTTATTTAAAAACTGGGAAACTGTTTTGTTGCCCTTTCGGTAGGTGGTTGGGAGTGGGGTCTGGCATCATCTCTTCCAAACTGAGTGATC